ATTATTTGAAGGTGAATTTGGTTAACTTTTAAAATAAACAATTTAATTCATCCCTACATTTGTGGGATAACAAATATTCTATTCTATACGTATTTATTAAATAAATATGAAAGCATTAATAATTTTCGAATGAAATTATCATAATTCTATTTGCTAAATAAAATGAAAAATGAAATCATTCTATTACGTATTCAATTATATTAAACATTGATAAAACCCACGCTCGGGTGTGTGCGTTCGTGTATGGATATATATGTAGACATATCTGAAACTTTCCACATCATATATATTTCAAAGTTAATTATATAAACTTTGTTGAAACGTTTAATATCAGTTCGATTCAAATGTATATTTATTTTATCTCTCTCTCTCTCTCTCTCTCTCTCTCTCTCTCTCTCTCTTTCTATCTATCTCTTTCTTTGTATTTGTTGTTTGTTACATTTTATCTTCTTCAATGAATAAATCTTTCGCTTTTGATTGACGAGAAATATTTTACTAATAGTTTCGCGAAGGTGTACTCGTTTAGAAAATTTATGCCCGATTAATTTTGATGAGTAACACGAGAAGAATCATTGAGACTCTCTCAGTGCGATTAACTGTAACTCGAATAATCGATATGTCAAAGGTGTTAGGGGAAAAAAAGAAAAAGAAACGAAAAGTTGTAATCTTCGATCAGCACGTAGGATATAAAGCCATCATTTCTTTCTTTCATTCTCGTTCTCTCTCTTTCTCTCTCTCTCTCTCTGTCTCCGTTTCTTTTTCTGTCTTTCTCTCTTTCACGATAATCGATCCCACAGCGTGTTCTTACGGATGATTTCACAGGCAACGCCATCTCGAATATTGCGAATGACGACCTCGATTTTTACAGATATTTATTTGAAAAGGAATTATTCTCCTGGTATACTAGAATCTTCGTATATTTTCAGGATTTTCTTTTATCTTTATACGTAAATGTAGATCGCGTTAAAAGGAAATAAAGAAAAAAAAAGAGAAATAATTTAATCGATAAGATAAATTTCCAAAGAATAAGAGATAAAATTTACATTCGTGCATAGAGTTTTAACTTCCTTTCGTGAGATAATTCGGCTAATGTGTAGTAATTCATGCAAAAAGTTACGAATTCTCGATTGATCTACAATTGTATTAATTTAATATCGATGATTTTTATTTATAAAGAAAAGAAAACGGTACCTTCATTTCTATTTCAGTTCTTCGCGTTATATTATTTTACAAAATATTTTGTTAATAAGCTTATTTTAATAGAAAATAAGTATAATAATTATTCTCGAATAATTTCATGTGAAAAATTTCGAATTAGTAGTGTTCTGTGTAACTCTTGACTCATTTAATTAATTTCATATGTTAAATCGAATGAAATAAAAAGGGTCGACAATTTCGTGAAGCTTGGAAATAAAATCGTGTCGATTCTCCCAAAAAAAATAATTTAACGGATTGAGAGAAAGAGAGATAAGGAAGGAGAGATGGAAACTCGTAAATACGAAAAAGAAAGGCGTATTTAATTAAAGTACCTACCAAAGAAGTGATGAGGTAACTGTGATAGTCGCTCATCATTCCTATTTGTTGAGCCTGCTTCAACACGTCGTAAATCCTTTCGGTTGAACAGTCCAGGACTATATGCGACTCAGCCGAGTTCTTTATCTGTTTCAGCAATGGTCTGAAACAAACAAACGAAGAAACCTTACGTGAAACGTTCTTTCCCACCGTTAACGTTGGTTAAACGTAAATCTCCTTTGATATATATTTTTTGGTTGAAATAACGAGAAAACGAGAGCAACTCTATTGTGGCATTGCGATTTATGTACTCAAAGATTCCTTCTGATCCAACAAAATTTCTTACTTTTCTATACTATCGTCTCTCTCTCTTTCTTTCTATCTACGATTTTGGAGATATTTGTTTCCGTACTGTATACAGAAAAATAGGTGGATAGATAGAAAGCTAGATAGATAGATAAATAGATAGATCGGTAGACCGAAGAAATAAATGTACGCTAGTTTTCCGATTCAATTTCATTCGAAATAAATAAAAGAAAATTAAATCACGAATCTCTTATATCAAACTTATACGTTATTTTCATCTTCTTTTTTTACATTTTAAAAATGATATAATAATTTGATTAAGATAGATAATAATATTACAGACTTTAAATCTAGATAGATATAAAATCAGATAGATGAATGGATAAACCAAGAAATAAATGTACGTTAGATTTCTGATCCAATTTCATTCAAAATAAAAAAGAAAAGAAAAATGAAGAATCATGCATCTTCGAGCTTACAATATTTCCTATGTTATTTTATTAGTCCAGGCAACAAAGGAGAACTTGGAAAATTTAGGGGCCTTGTTAAAATTTGATATAATGGTAATTCGACGACGCTGAATCGAATGGTGCTAATTTTTTTGCAATTGGATCAGGAGATCTTTGAGAAAAAGGGTAAAAAAGGGTAAAAAAGCCATATCTTAGAATCTATGCATTTAATCGAAAAAAGTTTCTAACAAAAGTTGTGTTAAATTAA